TCATCATTATTACTATCATTATTATTATCATTATTATTATTATTATTTGTTATCGTTATCGTTATCGTGATCATTAAGGAGGTAACAGAGACGTAAAGTATTTTAGCTTATCACGATGATGTAGTGCCGGATCCAGATCTTGAGATAAGGGAGGGGGGTCATCCAAACCCTTAGATAAGGGGGGGAGGGCGGTCCCAAAAAAAATCGGCCTTTCAGGCCTCAGTTTCATGTAAAAATAAGGGGGGGGTGGGCCCCTTCCCTGGATCAGCCACTCTGATGACTCAAAACAATAGTGGCCCGGTTTGGCTTTTTTAGAGGAATGATCAGTGTTTTTGGGTTTCCCCACCGGGGATTCTCATATCACTAGAGAATTGAGGTACGATCCCGGGGGGTACTCCCTGTGATGGCCTATACGGGGAGGCTCCGCCCGAAAGGGGTACTTTTTTCAGGCTTCAGGTATATGAAATTTAGGGATTTTACTCGTTGATGTATAAAAGGGTAATGAAATCTGTCATTTGAGTCTGTGAAAGATCTGGAAGGGCCCAAACGGGCTAACAGATGAATTTTATGGCTTTGTAAATCCGAGAGAACGTTCTATTTTTGTGATTGATTCTTATTTAAAAGACAGTGCATTTACAGTAGTTAAAAGGGAGGCAAAATTCTAAACAAGATGTGTGAAGAGGGTACCATTTGTCAATAGAATGTATACCAAAGGGGTGCCTCTTTCGAGAAAAATTATATATTAAAGGGTAAGGGGTTGCACCTCGGGGCGGAGCCTCCCCGTTTATGTATAAACAGTTATTAAGTGCCCCCCACCCCCGCGGGGGGTACGATACCCAAAACACGTGGATACCCAAGTCACTGTGACATCGCCACTTTTCAAACAGGCCCTTCGGAACCACGACCGCGGTGGCACGAAAACGTCTCTTTACCCCGACCTCTTGCATAGTAATTATTACTACAGATATACTACTACATGAGAAATTTCAGCAATTTGATTGGCTTAGAGCAGTGGTATTTCAGCTTAATTTGAAATACCTACATGTGAAAATTACAAACCTTGCGGGTAGTAGTATAAACAATTAATAGCATGATTTGTAGGTGACATTTGGCATAAATACCACTCGTGATATTTCAAAATTGTCTCAAATTTCACTCGCCTAACGGCTCGTGAAATTTCGTATAACAATTTTGAAATATGACTCGTGGTATTTATGCCAAATATCACTACAAATCATGCTATTACCTATACTAATTATCCTGTCTCGTCCAATAATTGAAAAGTAGCGAGGGGAGTTACGAAAAATCGTTGTCTTTAAAAGTAAACTTGTTTCCTTAGAGTTTGGAAAGTTCACGCCATGGTTGTGCTATGACGGCAGAAAAATCCACTGGAAAAAGCGTGATGCAGGAGCCGAGTTCTTGTTTTGCTTGTTTTAAACTAAGTTATTACTGCTTAAAATTGTGGGCGTTCTCCATACCGCCATATATAGCCTCTGATATAATCGGGGCCGTCTATGCTTACTATCAACCAGGCCCGGGTTGTTCAAACGTTAGATAGCGCTATGACCGGATAAATTACTATCCAGTGGATAAGTATCATAAAAATCAATTGCGCTATTCAGTGGATAGAGATTTATCTGGTGGATAGCGTTATGCACCATTTAAACAACTGAGGCCAGGGGTTAATTTTTTTAAAACTTTTAAAAGCGCAATTTACAAGTGTAGCTATTGTTTTCAGACTTTAAAACAATAGCTACACTTGTAAATTACACTTGTAAAAGTTTTGTTAAGTTCACCCCGGGAACTATTTCAGATAGTTGTCCGGTAGCCGGTTTGTAAGTGCTTTAGCCAATTCGCCACCCTACTTCTTTCCTATCACGTTGCATGTCATCTGACTGCTAGTCCTCCTACCCCTCTGCTATTTCGTTCGTCTTATTGAAATTTTATTGTTTTCTCGCGGCCCTCGGGGACTAGGGCACAAACAGCCATGAAAATCCCTTTGCTTACCTGGTAACTCCCCAAAATGCGTCTTGCTTGACCTTGTACCCTAATAAACTCCGCAAGCTGTGTTATAATTGTCGTTCCGCAAGATCGTAGCTTCCTTATGCAAACCTTCTCAGGGCCTAGTTACTAAGACTTTATTTATTTCATTTCTTGACACACAGGCCATATCGCGTCTGATGTGTACAAAGCGATTCAGGAATTCCTCAGGAAAACATACATCCGATTTCAATACTACGACAGGGTAGTCCTTGGGAGTAACTACATTCGATTTGGAAATAGCGATGGGTAAGGTATCAAAATATCAAAAAGGCATTATCTAGATATGTTTCTTTCTTTCTTTTTCGAAAAAATACTTTAAATAATTATACAAAAAAGATGCAAACAACTTAATTTACATGAGAGGAGTATGGAGGGTGGAGGTAAGTTATTCACCTATGAGTAGCCTGCGTAGCACGCGTTGAAAGGGCTACGGGATACGGAGGAAGGGGAAAAGGGAGGGGATTTGGGAAAGAGGGTAATGGCTCACTTCCCTTCTCCCCTCTTTCGCGCTTTTCTCCCTCCCCTTTTTGCGCCTGTCACGTAGGCTACCTATGAGCTGTTCTTATGAGACCCTTTCCCTCCCCTCCCCCCCCCCCGAACCTTTCTTTCTCCTCCTGGTTAAATGCGCACGTGAATAGGAGTACCCAACAACTTTGTTCTTTGAAGTGAATCACTGTTCAAATGAGCAAATATAAATATTTCCTAGAATTTTCTAAAGCCCGAGAAAGGCTCAACCTTTCTGGATAACCGTTTCATTCGTCTAAGATATTCACTGTTTTTTACCGTTATATAGAAAATAACAATTACGGCTACTCCTGTCCTAGAACGTTTGATCGGACCAATCAGGGTTGAAAAAAATCCAGTAACCTTAAAAATTGTCCAGACGAGCAAAATTCTCCTAAGACAACCCATTGGATAAAATAGTTTTTAGGGCAGCTCAGAATTAACCGCTCCGGCTTCAAAAGCATTAAGAGAAAACCATTTGAGAAACTTCTGAAGTTTTTCTTTTCTTCACCTAAACGTTCAATCGTTTTAGGTGTTCATCAAAGGTGGGAAAGCGATATGCTGAAAGCGGTTATCAAGAAATCTCCATTGCTGATGGCTTTATGACGTCCCAGCGATCGTGTATGAAATGATGCATGCAACAGGTAACTTTTTCGCTCGCGTTTTTATGCGATGGACAAAAAGATCAAACGATCATGGTTGCCCTTGTCGCATGTTCTAGTTAGGCGTTCGAGGTTTGCATGCAGGGCTACAGTGTGATCTATATTACATGGTTGGGGTTGTAGTACTTTTGAAGTATGAATGAAGTTTCTTTCCAGCAGTTTTTAGCTTTGCTTTATTGCACTCCGTTACAAAAACGTTATTTTTAACGTTAGTGAACCAAATTGTACAATATGTGAACTAGTTATGGCCATCTACGAAGGTATTACTATAAAGAGAGAATGGGTAGCGCGCACGGGGAACTGCAAAATGAAAAAAAGGGAGAATAGGCGCTGAAGATATTGACAGGGATAAGGTTTAAATTACCTTTTGTTCCCATTTTTTTTTTATTTTCCCATTCACTGGGCTCGTTTCCGTTCTTCGTTCCTCGTTTTAGTCCTGTCAGTAGCCATGCCAGTAAATACAGGTAGTAATTTAGATCCAGTTGTATTTAGCATCTTTCATATCTGCTTCCCGAGGTTTCTTCCACGAACAATCAAGAAGCGACCGAGATAAATATGTCAAGATCGATTGGGAGAACATTCTACCTAGTAAGATATTGCATACAGTAGTAAATCATACCTACGTTTTGTTAACCGGCCAGCAGCGACACACAGCAAACTATTGTTGCAAACTGAAAGCCAAAAAGGTCTATATATTTTCGGCGACACGACTTCTTACTTAATTGTCAATTGAAAATATTGGTTTGATTATACTAGTATTTTGAAATCTACGTGATATCTTTAGAGGTGTTCAGATATCTATTCTGACTTCACTAACACGAGAAAAGGAACAATTCTCGAGCCAAAACCATAAATAATCCGAAACTATCCCTCGAATGCCGCGCGCCCCTTAACCGTGCCGTCAGAATTTCTATTTATTTCTGTCCAATTAATTCCTTCCCATGTTTCTCAAACGTCAGGGCGGAGTTGTTCAAAGCTGGGTTAAGATAACCCAGGATTAGTGCAAGATTTGAATTCAGATTTGAAAGCTTAAAAAGCATTTCAGTTTTAATTCTTTTTGTCTACAAGTTGATGATTGGAAGCTCTAAAAATAACAGAGAAAATTATCTGAGAAAATGCTTTTGAACACAAGAAAAAGAAATCCGGGTTAAATTTAACCCCGGGTTAAGCGCTCATCGGCCTTAGAATAACTGGGACCAGAAGTTTGGCATCTTTCACCATTCCTGGAGTCTCAGTTACTTTCCAATTGTTATAAAATGCATCAAAAAAGCGCTTTTGAATTTTACATAATGGAGTAATATCATGAATTGCTCCATCATAGTTAAATGTGCACAAATATGTCTTTCCAAGGAATACGTTAAGCCAAGTGTGTTACCTACCTACCCACTCTACCTACCTTACCTACCTAATTTTGTTTTATTTTAGAGTATAAAGACCAGTTTGACAAATATTCGTGGAGGACTCAGGATAACTTGGGCGTGTCCTACGATTGTCAGTCCGTCGTGCATTATGATAGACTGGCCTTCACCAAAAACGGCAAACCCACCATTGTAGCCATTGGAAACGAGAACATGGAATTTAAAGCTCCGAATAACCTTCTAAGTACCAGAGACGCAGTCGAAATCTATGCTTTATACAATTGCAGAAGTGAGTAATTATGTTCTAAAGTACCATATTTCGTCCAACTGGCGCACAAGGGAGTGCATAGGCAAAGGGGAGTTTTACTTGAGGGGCCAGGTTTATAGTATGTTGTACGCTAATCATGAATTGTAAATGTCTATCATTATCATTATTATTACCATTGTCAATATCGTTATCATTACAATTATTATTAACGTTATCGTTATCGTTATCATTATCATTATCATCATCGTTATTATTATCATTATTATTATCGTTATCATTCTATCGTTATCGTTATCATTATCATTATCATCAACATTATCATCATCATTATTATTATCATTATTATTATCGTTATCGTTATCCTTATCATCATCATTATTATTGTCATTATTATTATCGTTATTGTTATCATTATCATCATCATTATTATTATCATTATTATTATCGTTATCGTTATCGTTATCATCATCATTATTATTGTCATTATTATTATCGTTATTGTTATCATTATCATCATCATTATTATTATCATAATTATTATCGTTATCGTTATCGTTATCATTATCATTATTATTGTCATTATTATTATCGTTATTGTTATCGTTATCATCATCATTATCATCATCATTACTATTATCGTTGTCGTTATCGTTATCATTATCATCATCATTATTATTATTATTATTATTATCGTTATCGTTATCATCATCATTATTATTATCATTATTATTATCGTTATCATTATCGTCATCATTATTATTGTCATTATTATTATCGTCATCGTTATCATTATCATCATCATTATCATCATCATTACTATTATCGTTGTCGTTATCGTTATCATTATCATCAATATTATTATTGTCATTATTATTATCGTTATTGTTATCATTATCATCATCATTATCATCATCATTGTTATTATCGTTGTCGCTATCATTATCATCATCATCATTATTATTATCATTATTATTATCGTTATCGTTATCGTTATCATTATCATTATTATAGAAATATATTATTATAAAACTAAAATCTTTATTACAAAACCTCAATTAAAATCCTATTTACAATCAACCTGCTATTACAAAAGATCTAATTAATTCATGAAAACACTATTTACAATTCCTTCATCAGAGATCAAAAACAATCCTATATGTAATAAGTGAAGAAAGAAAAAAAGACTATTCATTTACAAATTCTAAAAAATAGAAGTAACTTAACCTTACACAAAAGAAGAGGAAATAGATATAATCAATAATAAAAGTTCGAAATTCTATAAAATTAAGAATTCCATTATGCAGAGATATTAAGATCGTACTATCGAATTATACTAATGAAGGCTAAACCAGTGTCCATAAAAAGCCCTAAGTAAAAGCATATAGACACGTTCAGATATCCGCACTAGCGGCATTTATTTTACAGTCTAATGATTGCTCTATCTTGCTACGAAACGGCGTTCGCGAACCTCTGACGCATGCATGTACCGATCTTAAGAGTTCAAACGAGATCTGTGTCCTGAGCCAAGTGATTACAACATGATAAGGCTCGGTGTCTTTCTGAGCTATCTTGTCTGCGAGATGCTTTAAGAACCGCTCACACTCGTTTCCCATTCCGCCACTGGTTCCAAACACTAAAGGCGTAAACGAACCCATTTCTACATCTAACACCCGCTGCTGGTACTTGCGCTTCTTCTCTTCTTCTTGCTCTTTGAACATTTCCGATGTTGGCTTGCTCTGGTAACATTTGGAGTTGACTTGCGTAATTCTAACATCAAAAAATGCCGTAACTCCTCTTGCCCAGAAACCTCCCGCTTTGATGTCCAACCTTGCCTCAGAACTTGTAACAGCGCTCCTCAAATGAAATCGCTCGTTGTCCAGGGGTTGAAGGCGTGGTTCGATTTCGACATTATTGCAGATCTTGTCGATGAATGTCGTTAACAAGTTCCGTACACCATCATGTCTCTGCGCTACAAACCCCCCCTTTTTACAAGAGAGGGCGTGACTAACGGTGAATTTATCCCCACATATGCAATGACTTGGTAAATCGACTAAGGGCAAGTCATAACGCAAGCGTAGCGAGTCTCTGAACTCTTGCTTGTTGAGGACTAAACCTTTGTCTGCGAGAGGCATCGCATTCAGCCAAGAACTTGCGCCCTTGTCCCTCGATTGATTAACCAGACGCAGCAGGCCTGGGGAGAGGCTTGAATCAATGCTATCCATTTTCTCTTTGGCACTTGCTCTCTTAAGTGATTGTTGATGTCTCTTTAGCTCCTCCGTAGATCTTTCTCCTGGCACCATGATGGAACTCTGTGAAGTAATAGAATCTACGTGCGCGGTGGTTATTAGTCTCGAGGCAGCAAACTGCTGCCTATTATAGTCATTATTATTATCGTTATCATTATCATTATCATCATCATTATCATCATCATTATTATTATCATTATCGCTATCATTTTCATTATTATTATCGTTATCATTATCATTATAATCATCATTATTATTATCATTATTATTATCGTTATCGTTATCATTATTATTATCATCATCATTATCATCGTCATTATTATTATCTTTATCATTATCATTATCATTATCATCGTCATCACCATTGTTATTATCGTTGTCGTTATTGTTATCATTATCATCATCATTAATATTATCGTTGTCGCTATCATTATCATTATCGTCATCATTATTATTATTATTATTATTATTGTTATCGTTATCGTTATCATCATCAATATTATTGTCATTATTATTATCGTTATTGTTATCATTATCATCATCATTATTAGTATCATTATTATTATTGTTATCGTTATCATTATCATCATCATTATTATTGTCATTTTATTATTATCGTTATCGTTATCGTTATCATCATCATTATTATTATCATTATTACTATCGTTATTATTATCATTATCATCATCATCATTATCATCATCATTATTATTATCATTATTATTATCAGGGGGGGCGGGCCCCTTCCCTGGATCCGCCACCGTGATGACTGAAAACAATAGGGGCCTGATTTGTTTTCAGAGGAATGATCAGTGGTTTTGGGTTTCCCTACCGGGGATATTCATGTTACTAGAGATTTGAGGGACTATCTCGGCGGTACTCCCTATGATGGCATATACGGGGAGGCTCCTCCCGTAAGAGGTACTTTTTTCAGGCCTCAGGTATATGAAAGGGTGGGGATTTTACTCGTTGATGTATAAAAGGGTAATGAAATCTGTCATTTGGGTCTGTGAAAGGGCCCAAAAGGGCTAACAGATGAATTTTATGGCTTTATAAAGTCGAGAAAACGTTCTATATTTGTGATTGATTCTTATTTAAAAGACAGTGCATTTACAGTAGTTAAAAGGGAGGCAAAGTTGTAAACAAGATGTGTGAAGAGGGTACCATTTGTCAATAGAATGTATACAAAAGGGGTACCTTTTTCGAAAAAAATTATATATCAAAGGGTAAGTGGTTGGACCTCGGGGCGGAGCCTCCCCCTTTATGTATAAACAGTTATTAAGTACCCTCCCCCCACCCCCGCGGGGGGTACGATACCCAAAACAAGGGGATACCAAAGTCACTGTGACATCGCAACTTTTCAAACAGGCCCTTCGGAACCACGACCGCGGTGGCGCGAAAACATCTTTTTACCTCGACCTCTTCCACACTAATTATTACTACAGTATTTATCCCGTCTTGTCCAATAATTGAAAAGTAGCTAGGGGAGTTACGAAAAATCGTTGTCTTAAGTATACTTCTTCCCTTAGAGTTTGGAAAGTTCACGCCATGGTTGTGCTATGACAGCAGAGAAATCCACTGGAAAAAGTGTGATGCATGAGCCGAGTTCTTGTTTTAAATGAAGTTACTACGGCTTAAAATTTTGGACGTTCTGGATGCCGTCGTATACAGTCTCTGATATAATCGGGGCCGTTTATGCTTGCTATCAACCAGGCCCGGGTTGTTCAAACGTTAGATAACGCCATCCAACGGATAAATTACTATCCAGCGGGTAAGTATTAGCGAAACCAATTGCGCTATTCAGTGGATAGATATTTATCCGACGGATAGCGGTATCCAACTTTTTAACAACTGATGCCAAGGATTAATCTTTTAAAAAACTTTTACTTGTGCAATTTACAAGTGTAGCTATTGTTTTCAGACTCTAAAACATCTTTTCAGATGATGTGCAGGGTGATCTTTTTCTAAAGGACAACATCTTTGCTGAGGAGTGTTAGGGCCAGTTTACATGAAGGTAGTAGACCCCAGGTAGGCGAGGCAACCTGCTTAAGCGGGGTAACGTCCCCGGGTAACCCTCCGATCCCAGCCGGGGTCAAACGTTTTAACGTGGGTAACCCGCCTAGCTGGGGACGGATTCCTTTTTACGTTAAATTCGACTAATTCAAACTACAAAAAAAGCTACAGCTAGCACTAATAGGGTGTAGCCAGAGCAGAAAGTGAAAGAAGAAGAGTAATGTCACTTGCTCGCCATTCAGTTTTCAGTGTGAACGTGTTTAGCGACCATTCTATAATCTTACGAAAGCTAACTGAACGCCGGGTTGGCAGGGTGTAAGATTGCTTGTCAACGCGTTTTTTTCTTACCCCACCCAAGTGGGTTACTTCACCTACCTAGGGTCCCCCGCCTCCGTGTAAACAGGCCCTAAATGTTACAATTTGCTATTCACAACTAATAAATAAATGAATAAATAATGACCGCGTGACATTTAATACAGCATGCCATTTATTCAACCTAGCACCATCGTCTCGTTTTAACAGATAATGACGATACCGACTTTGGAAATGGCCGCCTTGGGATATGGAGCAATTCTAAAAGGGACAACTTAAGTTGGAGGTTTCATCGGTCCTACACGCAAACTATTGATACTGGACCTAGTGCTGATCCTACTGCTTGACAAGGTTTGTATTTTTGCATTGCCTCTATTAGGCGCATGCGCATATAAGCAAGAAAACATGTTCAAATTAAACAAAAAAGGCCTCGAGCCTCGACGGATGACACCCTCTTCGATCTACTTTATAGAGAGAAGAAGTCGTTACGTCACGTTGCCATGGTAGCAAAAATTTTGGATGACAACAAACCAAAAAAGTCACTTAAAAGTCTATTCGCACTATTTTAAACTTCACCGATCTTATTCAGTTTCATTTAATTTGTCAAATCTTTGCGAAATTCTCTTTCGGATTGTATCGATCGTTATCTAAGTTAAGAAAAAGAAACCGACAATTTTTGTGTGTGTTCACCTACTCCATAAAGCGGGCTCTTGAAATTAGGAAGTTTCATGTCGTAGCGGTGCAGCGACGGCAAAGAAATGTACAAAATAGCGTGATGCACGTGCAAAGTTGTTGATTGTAGATATAAACATCTTTTTTTTTTGCCGTTCTCCTTGCCGTCGCTGTCGTCGTTGGTTTTGTTGTCATCCAGAAATAGTACTACCATGGTAACGTGACGTCACACTTCTCCTCTCTAATCTTCAGAGCATACTCACCCTCATTCAATAACTGCTAAACAAACTTTCGAAAGGGATATAACACATATATATAAAATCAACATGTCCCCCAATGTCATTAACAAAGAGAGAAGAGAGATGGTTCTTTATGAGGGCGCCACTTTCAGCAACCTACTCATAAAATTAAGGAAGTAAGATTTTGGTAGTCATAGCAACAATCTTTTACAGCCTGTACCCATGAACATCGTGCCTTATACGTCATTTATACTAAGGTCCCTTCCACACGAATCCTGACATTTTCGAAACCGCATTTCAATTAACCGGACTCGTGTGGCCCATTTTTTATTCGTGTAAAAAAAAAGCGCGATTTCAAAAGTACTCGGGGCTAAACAGGGTAGGAAGAGGTGAAAAGAAAACGCGTGGGGTCAAACGTACTGTTTTTAAATTCTTTGCTGTTGTTGTTTCTTTGTTTGTTTTTTGCTTTCGTTTTTTGAGTACCCATTAATTGGCGCCTCTACCTACGAGAGTGGCATCTTTAATTTCGGATTTAATTTTTATGGACCCGCTCTCCAACAACCAACAAGATGTTCAAGCATATGTAATTTGGTGCTTCCAACAGTGTTGGATGAATTTGGATTACAATGAAATCAACAATTAAACGGGACCTTTTGATTATGTTATATAAACAGGGGGGTCGGTATGAGATGTGGGAACCTGCACACCCTCCCCTCCCCTTTTCCAAAATGTGGCGTGAATAAGTAATTACCGTTAACGTTAGTTTAGTAGAGGGGTATCGGTGCGACATTTCTCAGTTTTTTTATTATACTGATCGAAACAGGATACTACCTTTAAGTGGAGTCATCAGGAACAACACCCGGCCAAAGAGCTGAGTTAGTGAGTCCGTGGCTGTCGGGTCGGCCTAGCGGACGGTGCTTGAAGTTTTACTTCTTCATTCATGGCAAAACAATGGGAAGCCTGGCCGTCAAATTAACGTTATCCGACGGAAGGAACTGGTACTTTTTTCACAAGAATGGAGAAGAAGACCAATATTGGAAAAAAGGAATAGGGAACATAGACCTCCGACGGGTTTAAGGTACAGGGTAAGTATATACCGGAAATTCTTACTCTCTGTAGTTGTGGTTATCGTGGTAGATCTAATTCAGCTAGAATTATTAAGTTACTTCAGCAGAGATAAAGAAAAAGGTGACTAAAATGTGCTTAAATTAGCTAAAATCGAGTACCGTATTTCCTCGAAGAACCGGGCGCTTATTTCAAATTTCAGCGAAAAGGATGGGTGCTAATTCGAAGGAGAGCGCCTAATAGACGGGGCGCTTATTAACCGAACTAGAGAACGGTTAAGTTGTTTCTAGAATGTTTACTGTATTTACCATGCAAGAGCGCGGCAGTACGACAAAAATAAAAAGACGAGAGATAACGCACAAAAAGGAACTCTGCAAGCACATAGAAATAGAAATAATTGGAAATGACTTAACAGAAAAAGAAACTATTTCCCTCTACTGATTCTGCTGTAGTCGAAGCTTAAAATGTTAAAAATAAAGTGGCAATACAAGCTGGTTTTTCCATGTATCCCTACTATTTAACCCTCGAACGTACAAGCAAATTCATACCCCCACCGTGGTACGAGGGGGTGGGGGGTGGATGGAACCCCTCCCCGGAGTTTTTGATATGTTGCAGTATTTCGAAACGATTTTACCTTTAATGGAAAGCCTTTGATCTTCTTAACAAGAAGGGGTATATTTTCTGGGTGGTAGCGCTGCTGGAGGCCTGTGACGTCACCAACAATGATCGCCATCTTGGCCGCCATCTTTGATTTTACCAAGAATTAGAAATCAGGTTAAAACAGCGAGAAATAGTAATTCTCTGTGCTTTACATGAAAAATAACACATAAATAAGCACTTTGCACGATTTTAGCCACAAGATTTACTTTTATTGTTGAAGAAATTGAAAAGACATGTATTTAAACCCAAAAATAGCTTGACCACCTGCTACTTATGACGTCATATCTCGTAACCATAGCAACTGACCATCACTGAACTTGTCTCAAAATGTGTGCGAGGGATGAACGAACAGCTACTAGAAACGTCAGGTGCTGATGTTTTATTCTCTAGGAGAAAACTCAAAAAAATACCTTGGGGGGTGGAATCCCCCCACTTGCACGTCCTAGGGTTAAGAAAGTGAGGGGAAAGGGAGGGAGACGCTTATTGGAGAAGGGGCACTTATTTGATATATGGCCTTAGGGTGGGCGCTTATTCGGGACAGTGCGCTTATTAGAGCGTGGACGCTTATTCGAGGAAATACGGTATATTCGAAAACACAAGCAAAAGCTGACCTATGCCAGAGGTTCAATGTATATATCAGAAGCA